CCGGAATCTATCTTAGATATCTATAAGTCAGCCATTCATTGCTGCCACATATGGTCTAGTGATTTTTCTATATATTTAGATATCCTTGATAAAACCCAACAAAGTATTTGCAATGTTATTGTTCCTAACCTGACATCTCAACTACAGTCACTTTCCCAGCACTTTAATGTGGCTTCCCACAGCCTTTTCTATAAGTAATTTCATGCTAATTGTTCTGATGAACTCTCCTCTATGGTAACCAAACTCTATGAATTCAAACTCATTACTAGATTTGCGGCAAGATGTAACTGTAAGTTCTATGCTAGCAGTTTCTTCTCTCGCACCTCTCACTTGTGAAATTCTCGTCCGACTTCTTGTTTGCCATATAAGCTTGATCTTCAAAAATGTAAATGGAACGTCAATCTTTTGTCCTGATAATTTCAGTTCTTTTATTGTTCTCACCAGAGGTGTTAGTGGGGTCAAGTCTGACTGAGGGGCCCGGGTTGTGCTTTGTAACCCTCGCTGTCTTATCAACATTTGCTATTTTTATACTTACATTTACACACGTCACAAATTAAACTAAGCACAACTGACTCTGAAATGGTTGAAAAATTTTCGCAGATTCTGACGTCATGTTGGAGTTTTTTGGGCTTTTTTAATCGGTATGACCCCAAGCAAGACAGTACAGCAACTAATAAGGGATCACAGAGTGTGGAAGAATTAGAGACAGAAACATTACTAATGAGTAGAAAGAGGAAAGAGAAGTCAGGAAGACAGTAGATAGCGATTGATATTGCATTAATTTTTTTGCAGATTATAGTTAGCCGGAAAACATGAAGACGGAATTAATTCCACAAGCGAAAAGTGCGAGAAAAGAAACTGTCAACATAGAAGGTGGAAGGCAGAGAGAGATCTATTAGATGATTAATGAAGAGGAGTTTAGTTTTGGAGGCGTTAACATCGACAAGACATCATTTGCCTAAGTTAACGACGGTTTTGTGGTCATTTGGGACATCAGCTGCTATTTTGAGCTTGTCGGAGTGACCAGCCTTACTATCGATGAAGGAGAAAATGGTAGTGTCGTCAGCGTAGATGCCAAGTTGAGAGCTGATGCCATGAGAAAAGTCGTCCATGGAGATTAAAAACAGTGTTGACCAAGGATGGAGCCCTGTAGGGAACCCGCGTTAGTACGAAAGGATGTAGGTGAGTGGCCATTCAGGATAACTCTCATTTCACGATGAGAACGAGTGGATCTGTTCAAAAATGTATCAGGAGATAATTTTTCACCTTGTGAAGAAAACCTGAATGCCAGACATTGTTAAAGGCTTTCGTGATGTCTAATGCTACAACCTGGTTTTCACCGTTTTTATCTAGAGCATGATTGACTATTTCTGCAATTATCGTCAGTTCATCAGCAGTTGATCTGGAGAAACGAAAGCCATATTGCTTGCCTGAGAAAAGGCCCTGTGATGAGGAATGATTAACAAATTCATCATTGATTATGGCTTCTAGGAGTTTCCCAAAAAGAGGTAGAAGGCTAATGGGCCGATAGTTGGATGGGTCAGACGGTTCACAACAGACGATGACTTCCAACAGGCGGGAAAGCCGGAGGCAGCAAGGCATTTAGCAAGGAGCTAGTTCTGGAGCACACTTCTTAATGACTATTACAGGGATAGCATCGGGTCCAAAACTTTGTGGGAATCCAGGTTAGAGATGATAACAGAAACCATGTAAAGGGTTATATGCATATCACTCAACAGAGAATCAGTTCTAAGTGGAAAATTAGGCAGGAATACTCCATATGAGTCAAGAGTAGAGTTTGAGGAGAATTTACGGGCAAAGCATTCAACTTTAAAAACAGAGGATGATAATACCGATGATGGCAAAATCGATTGAAGAGGGGGAATAGAGACCTTGTATTTATTTATTACCTTATTACAGAGACGACAATAATCACGAGAGCCAAAGTTTTTAGAGGATCTGCGGTACCTCATTCTCTCAGCAAACAGTGACTTAGATTCGCTTACATTTTTTTTAGCAGTAGCAAATAGGCACCTGATGTGACAAGAGCTATCACGCTGATATTGCCGGAAATAGTGGTTCCTGTGTGCTATGGCGGCCGAGCATGCTGTTGTTAAAACATGGAGAGGATTGCAGTTTTACCTGGCTTTGACTTCAAGAGGTCAATTACGAAATCTGACCTCAAACATCAACTCTATAATAGCCCAACTTAGGCAGTAAAAACATTTTACGAGTTGATTTATAGCTTCAGTTCTACGTATACGTCTCGAAATGATTAACATCATAATTATTATATAGTAACATTTTCAAATACAAAAAACAGCTACAGGATAAAATTTAAACAATGTTACAAAGTACACGACTACGTCCGTCAATTGGTAGGATTAAGCTCTTCTAGAGAGACACATCTCTCCTTTTTTTTCCCATATTACTATCGAATAAGCACTCCAGAACCGGGATAAAAAAAAAATTCTAAAATTTTAATAACGGGAGAAGTTCAGCACTCAAATACTAATAGGCTTTTTACACTTGAAAAGCTCATTATAGTAAAAACTTGAAAAGCTTAAATATCTCCATTCTTGGAGTGTCTAGAAAAATTGGGTTGGGTGTCCTGCCCGGATGTTAACTTGTTGGGGCGGCATTTAGATGAATTAGTATAATGATTTACCATGCAAAATTAGTTGAGCTATTTTTACTTAAATTCACTTTATGGTTATTAACTACAAGAAGAAAGAATGGGTGGTTGTTAACAAAATGATTGGCCCAAAATACAAATTACAAATCGGGGATACCAAAATCAAACTAGTACAAAAATTTAAATATCTAGGAAGTGTCTTAACAGAGGATGGAAAGTGTGACAGTGAAATCTGAACGCACATCGGAATATGCATTCCAAAAGCTAAGCAGAGTATTAAGAAACAGGAAAACTTCGTCAGAAACAAAGAAAAGAGTACTGAACTGTTATGCGATATTTGTCTTCCTATATGGCAGTGAATGCTGATCAGTTTCCTTAAAGAGACTTGAAGCAACAGAAATGTGGTTCTACAGGAGGATTCTGAGGATAGGATACAATGGACCGAATGTGTAGGCAACGACAAAGTTTTAGAGAAAATGGAAACATATTTAACATCAGGAAAAGGCAGCTAAAATTTCTAGGACACATAATGAGGAAAGAAGACTTGGAAAATCTGATACTCACAAGACAGAATGAAGGTAGGAGCGACAGAGGAAAACAACGCATAACATATTTAATGAAGTAAATGGATCACAGAACAGTTTGGGAGAAATAACAAAATGACAAAATTTATTAAGAGTTATAAAGGACAGGAAATTGCGGAGAGCCATGATCGCCTATGTCCTGAGTGGGGGGGGGCACGACACAAGAAGAAGAAGAATACACTGGACATTTACTTTGAAGGTTCTACTGAGTTAGTTACTGTTAGGGGATTTTTTTCATTGTACCTATATTGTTAATGTAATAATATTTTATTTTAAAATTATTATTTCCTAAAAAGTAATCTCACAGAGATGATTTTGATGTTACGATATAATGTGCCATGTGCCAGTATATTCTTGGTATTTATTTACCGAAAACTTTGGACATAAAACGAACTGTGGTAAGATGTATAAAATAAATAATATATCTTTTATTTGATTTAAACTGGAGTGGGTCATTTGATATTGTAGCAAAATGTTTGTTTATAAGACGGATATTTACAGCAGCCTAGAGAAATCTGTTTCGGATCCGTAATGAATAGTTTCGAGAGTTGAGACGTCAGAACCTGTTAGTAGTAGTAGTTATCGTAGAAATAGCTCAGCGTCAATATACTGTTTTTGTCGGCACTAAGATGGGTGGAAATTATAATTAGTAGTTGGCCTCTTAACTACTTTACCCCTCGCATATGAGTCGTTTCTCCGGCGTTTGTGTCTCTTGTTCCGTAGTTTCTTTTGCTGTCCCTTCTCCTCGTCTAGCTCAGAGCTGTTAGATTATATCCTTTTGACCAGGCTTTCAGGCTCTGGCGCAAACCGTAGTTTCGGCTAACATCAAAAGTCTCCTTGTGTTAATATTTTTGATTGGCCAAAATTATTATATTTTCCGGTGTTCCTTTCTTATTCATTTTGTTATATAGCGGAAATTATGCCTGGAACCTGTCTTATTATGGTAGATTTAAAGTCATAAATAAGTAGGCTCTGGTCCCGCAAATTTCTGGCGTTTTTCGGCCCGGTTCAATCTTTTCTTCCTCTTTTTAATTGAGGGTTGTCTTCTTGTTAGTTGAAAGAGGAATATAGAAAGAGGAGGGAGGAGTGAGTGAAAGAAAAAAGATAAGGGTTTTAAAGGAAAGCGCAAATGCCTTATTTTAATTTTAATTCTTTCTATTTTTGTGTCTATATTTCATTTTATTTTTTTTATCGGGACTCACTAAATTCTTTTCATTCTCTTCCCCTGTGTGTTTTATTGGCATTAACGCCATGTTTTGTGTGAAATAATTTTAAAAAAAGAAGATTAAACACAGAGCAGTCGAAAATTAAAACCTCAGAAGCAGAAATCAAACTGATAAATTTTGGTCTCTGCACAAAATGGATTTGATGTACATCTTTCCGCGAGAATAATAATAATAAAAAAAATTAAATATCGTAACCTTCATATTGTTGTCCGTCCAATGTCCAATCCGCGCGGCTCATCGATAAGTTGATCATTTCGATCTAAGCATTGCCTTGTCCCACGTTGTTTTTGATTTTGATCACAAGGCTAGCAAGGATCGAATTGTCGACAAGAATTGTTGTAGTGGTTTGGTCCGGGCAGAGTGAAGTCACATGTAAAAAAAAAAAAGATAATTTGAATAAAAGAAAATGTTTCATATAGCGTTCTTTGTACAGAGCTGGTATTACAATTATCTATTCTTCAGGCAGGAATATATATGCCTCGTGCAGAAAATAAATTCCTCGTTCAGAATTATCAACCCTTCGCACTTCGTATATTAATGTGACGCTTTGACACAATGCTTCTGGAACTAGGCTCAAGCCGGAGGTTTCCTTCAGGCAGCAAGTCACGCGAGATCGAAGCGGTTGTCTCTCGTTTCCAACAGCAATTCGAGCGGCTACTATCGATTGCTTCGATCTTCTGCTTATATGGAATCTCGCCCAAAACCGGCGTGGAGTATCACGGGCCATGAGGTTTCGGTAAATCCCCTAATCCCTAGTTTGTCGTCTGACTCTGAAAAATTAATTGCATGCCCAGTTTCGGAGAAATCCTCCCTCCTAAGAGGAGTGGTAACAGATTTTCGCTTCAGCTTAACTCCTTCTTTCTCATACTGGTACCTCATACCAATACTATCTAATAGGCGTGGGCAATTCCTCTGTCTACTTGATATTTAACCCGAGCCCTTCACTTCGGTTGTCATTTTGACAAAACTCAAGTTTTAGACTGCGTAGGCGAACAGGCGGGGCTTAGCCCCAAATCATTAATTTTAATTATCACTCAAAATTTCTGTCTAAGGGATTTCTCGATCCAAACCCCATTCTCTCAGTCGGACATTCATCAGATGTCCTCATGACAGCTTTCTTAGCGAGTTTCGACCCGTGACACTTGGGTTCGGCTCTTATCCAAAGAAATCCCATTTTCTTAGCGACCTATGCCTTTCAACCTTTTTGACAAGTGAAATGACTCAATTCTCTTAACTTCGCCTTTGTTCCTCAAAACCATAAAAATATTTATCTATCCATCGATTCCCTTTTGCTTGTGGTTATCAGGAGACCTTCCATAACTTGCAACTTAGCGTGCCGTCATAAATCACTGCCTTCATTTCAGCTCTGTTGAACAAAATTCTTGGCCGATTCTGAACGCTTTCTTCCTACTCCTTATGAATTTAAATTAACCAGATGACCTTTTCAACTAAGTTCCTCAAAATAATAACGCCATTTTACTTAAAGTCAACCCTACTTCTTCACTTAGTGTTTATTCATGGAAGAAAAATAAACTTTCTGAATTTAAAAAATCTTGCTTCGTTTCTATATATGGCTATCAGGCTATCTCTTAACTCTTTCAGCGTCTTACAGTGTCACAATACAATTTCAATTTTTCACTAACCGGAGCCCTTACCCCCTTTTTTGTAACCTAAAAAATCAGCCTGTGTGAATCAGTTTTGACACCAAAAAGATATTTTTATATTCTAAACCCCAGTTGTCATTAAAGCCTACGCCGAGTTGGATCTCTTACTCAAAACCTGGCATACCAAACGTCACAGAAGGTGATTTTTTTAATTAATTTGTTTATTGTTTTGTTCAGTATCAAAGTTAAACTACGAATACAATAAACAAAACTAAAATCTAGTGAGCTAAAAAATAAAATTAATTGTACGAAAAGACAGTACATTCTTTCGAAAATAATTTTCTCCCTAAATTTTCTCAGTTTCTTAAAATTGTAATTACGTGGAAATCATTGAAACAGATTCTTTTTTTGTGGTTTCTAACGCTTTAGATTTTGTAAAGATACGATTTCTCACACATCCTTAGGAGATAAGTAGATCATTTCTTTCCTTTTAAGTCTACTTAATTATATGAGTTTCTTAGGAACTTTGTCTCCAATCCATCTTTAAGTCAACTTAATTGCTCGAGTTTTCAGGATTCCTGTCTCCAGCCTGCCTTTGAATTGGCAAACATAAAATGTTGTCAATGATTTTAGATAATCGTAAAAGTAGCCCTTTGAAGAAGCTGACCACCCAAAATTCTGCAGAGAGATATGCAAAACATAACAATCAGAAAACAACAAAGGAAAAAGAAATAAAAAAAAAAATAAAATGAAATAAACAAGTGCATAGATAAATAAATGTGGCGAAAGTGGTATTTCTGGGAAAGTATAATAAAGAATAAAAAAAAAAGAAATATATTTTCCTATGATGCTAGTAAACGGTTTTTGATTATTCAAAAATTTTATGACCCCCACTTCAAAAAAGAACAGAACTACTTGCTTTCCACTTTCCAAGGTTGAGCGTAAGGACGGTTTTTTTTTTGTAACGTCAATCATGAAGTGAGTATTATAATCGCTTCAACTCAACGCCTTGCACACGACCATTATAACCATTCTTAGCCTTACTTATCTAACGTACGTTTGGGCCAGAAAAAGAAGACGGGCATACCCAAGAGACGTTGGGAATTTTGTTTCCCTACAGTTATTATTAAAAAAAATAAAAATAAAAAAATAAACGGTCCGTAGTAGAAACATAATTTTTGTATGTTTCTTCTTAATTGTTTACAGGTGAACACGTCTACAATATACACCAACTAGCAACCTTTTAAATTCTATAGATTACCTCCCTTAGATGTGTTACTAGGGTCACGTGGTATGAGTATGGAAAAGAAGCGCGTCTTCAAAAATCTCTTTTACGATGTCTTATTCTCTGAACACAGCTGCTGTAAGTTTTTCTGCTAAAACCGCCAAATGCTCTCTCTCTCTCTCTCTCTCTCTCTCTCTCTCACACACACACACTCACACACACACACACATACATACACACACACTCACACACAGAGTTTCTTAAAAATGTAATTTTTGTATAAATGCAATGTATTTTAAATTTAAAAAAATGCTTGTCCCGCGTTTACTTAATTTTCGGGGTTGCCTCTGCTTTTAAATGAACTTAAGAAGCAAAAAAATTCGTTAGAAACAAAGAAAAGTCTACTGAACTGAGACGTAACGTCAGTCCTCCTATAAGGCAGTGAATGCTGGGCAATCTCCTCATAGATGAAGAAGAGACTTGAAACAACAGAAATGTGATTTTACAGAAGAGTGCTGAGAATACCATGGATCTAACATGTGAGAAACAAGGAAGTTTTAGAGAAAATGAAAACATAAAGAACACTTATTCTTAACATCAGAAAGAGACGCTTGAAGTTTCTAGGACACATAATGAGGAAAGTGGCCTTAGAAAATTTAACACTCACAGGACATATTAAAGGCCAAAGGAACAGAGGAAAACAACGTATAACCTACCGAATAAGATTGTTCAAATGAATGTCAGAACAAGGTTTATCATAGATAAAAAAAAGACAAAATTTATTAAGCGATACAAAGGACAAGAATATGTGGAGAGCTATGATCGCCAACGTCCTGAAGGAACACATCACATAGAAGAACAACAACAAGAAGAAGTGACTACAACACCATTAAGTTCTCAAGCAGTTCAGAAATTTTGACTATCAAGCAGTTTTAACAAATAGGGGCTAGAATTACTTCTGTTTATTCACATATATTTCAAAAGTTTCAAGTTTCTAAAAATATTAAATAAACATTGAATTATTAAACAAATTTACCACCGTTTTTTATTTGTTGACCAAATATTGATTCTCTATAAATAGATTTATTGCCATATTCATTATTTCCATCGTTATACAGTATATTAAATACTGTATAACGATGGTTACTTGTAAGAGTGCTGTGAGGTCAATCACATCATAGCAGCAGAAATAGCTTCGTGTTCACAGGAAATAAAAACATACTTCACAAAAATAAAACATACTATGTAAGATCATGCTAAATTGTACATTAATATCATACAATTTATTTATTTTGCGTACTGGTGTGTGTATTTTTTGGTTACAAGTGTTTTAAGGTTGTATGTGATAAAAGGAAGAAGTCACTTCGTATTGTTACAGCAATGTACCGGAGAGAGGAATAGGGACTTCTTGGCCGTTCAATGGTTGGTAGCAAAGAGACGTCTTTTGGCGGAATGTCCGTTTATTTAATTTATTTTAAAAAAAGGTTTAACGTTACTTGTTTTATTTTATTTTATTTAGAATTTTCATTATTATTATTATTATTTTATTTTTTATTTATTTATAATAATAATGTCCCTACATCACATCCCCACCAAATGAGCAGAGCTAGTCGGTAGTGATAGATGCCTATTTAAAATAGAAACAGTCATTGTTTTTGGACAAATTAACTCTCCTCCCCTAGCATATAGTTGTTTTTTTGGGTTTTTTTTTTTGTTAGTTATTGTTGTTTTGATTGTTCAATAGTTTGTTTCGGTTGTTCAGGTTGTGATTTTATAGGATGTTCCCTGCTATGTTTTTGTAGTAATATCAAAGGTTTTAATTTCTCATTAGAGATTCTGAGGTGTTTTTCGGTTTCAATGTTTCAGTGACAGCGATGGCAGGTGAAATGTTGCCTCCATTAGCTACATTTCTCATACCAAAAAAAAAAAAAAAACTATTTGTAAAGCGTTTATCCAGTTTTGTTTTCTAGTTATTATATCTGTATTTAGAATTATATCCTGGCGCTCTATTGTTCTATATGTTTGTGGTGGTATGAAGTTGTATGGAGTCTGCGGAATCCTATAAAAGTGCATAAGACTTTAACTAATTCGCTTTGGAACTGGCTACCTCTGTCTTGACATGAAGTGGTACTCCAAAGCGAGCTATCCAAATGACAGGGAACGCTATAGCTACTGTACTGGCTGAAGTGTCTTGAACAGGAATAGCTTCTATCCATCTTGTTCTCCTATCGATGCCGGTTTTGCTGGTGATATGTATATGCCATCGTGTATGGTTGCTGGGGGCAACGGTCCAATGATGTCGACGTGGACTATTTTGAATCGTCCAGATGGTAGTGAAAAGGTTGTAGTTTGATTCTTAGTATGTCTAGAAATTTTGTTTTGCTAAAAGTCTTGGCAACTTCTGACCATTTGACGTATATTTTTGTCCATATTCGGGCAGTAGCATCTTCAATTTATCGACTTTGCTGTTGGATTAGGACCAGGGTTTGAGATGTTTACGAAGAGATTCTGGAATGAATAATCTTGGTGTGTCACAGAAGAAGGTTCAATCTTGAGAGTTATATGACTTGAGGTTATACTTGTAGTTAGAAATCTTGTGATATAGCAGGTAGGTCGCATGGATCAATTGTAACTGATAAAGCTAGTCATGAAAGATAGCAATTATGTTATCTTCTCCTTTGATGTATATCACGTCTGTGATATAGTGATTTTCCAAGCGTAGCTTAGATGTGGCACAAGGCTGAATGTTTGGGGGACCTAGTGAGGTTCGAACTCACTACTCAGTCGTAATTGTT